TATAACACGTATTGTCTATGGATAAGTATTGGTTCGTCTATAGTTCGATTGATTTTCGTCTTTGTTTTTTTTTCTTGAGTAAGGTACGAGTCCATGTTTAATTGCCAGTTAATTAATTTTGTCAGTTCATATTAAAGTTTATGGTATACCAATTAAAATAGTTTACAATTTAGATAGCTTTAGAGTTTGTTGCATTCAAGTAGAGAAATGTTGTAACAGACTACATGTTATGTAGGTACGTTTTTTTATGTTCGAGGTTTTTCATGCATAGAAAAAGAGCTCTCGAGAAAATTACTTCTACATGGCTTTAAGGATTTAAGAAATGTTTGCGTGCCATATGGTAGAATGTACCAGGAACGATATATCTTTGTATGACCCTGAATTATATACTAACATTCAATGCAAATAAATTATTATATTCTATACAAATTTATTTATTAAAAAGTACCTATTTTGATCCATAATTTTATTGCTTCAAAGAGTTTTATCAAAGTTACTATTATAATGTACTTCATAGGTATAAAATAAAGTCCTAGACTACTACTACGTATCCACAAGCCGCCTAATCCCAGACAGAAACAATGTATTACTCGTAAATCACTTAAAATTACTTTAGAAACGGTATTTTATGTGGCATCTCGACAGTTTTCGATACACAATTCTATTGGCTGTTGGCATCGAAATGGAATCAATAATATTTCTAGATATATCGTCCATACAAGTCACAACGCCTGGCCAACTTGAATAGCTGCAGGCGCTTGAAACAAACTTATTGCTATGATAATTCTGTTAGGCGTTTCTATAATGAAGCGCACATCAACGAATTGGAATATTATATTGTGTTGGTTTGCTATTTCGAAACTTGTTAAGTATTTTTGGGTTATCAAATTTAATGATATGTATTGATTCTGTTTGCATGAGAGTTATTAAAACAACTCAGTTGTAAACTTTATTCTACTAGTTTTATTTGTTACTTTATTCGAATAATGAACCTTATACGTATATAATTTTTTGACATAATGTTTTCAAGGTAAACGTAACTTTCTTTTTATGGGATCCCATCCATGGTGGTCTGATGACTCTTTGAGGCGCGCGCGGAACGCGACGCACCGTACGCTCGAGCCTGGTTCTGGTCGGACGGTGAGCCACCCAGGCCTGCGCTTACGGTGGCTGGAGATCGTCCCGCGATCCCCGACGTCCGGAGTGTTCTTCGCGATGGCAAAACCTTTAAAAAATAACATTTAATACAGAGCAACAAAGGAACTTTCGTAATAAAAACGGAACGAATGAAATTAATAACAAAACCTCTATACACTTCTACCTATCCTTATAAGGTTAAGAAGTCATGAAGAAACTTAGTTCAGAGTTAATTAAAGTTTGAAAGGACACGTCAATCGACAGTACTTTACTGTTAATTACAACAGTTTTATATCTCTGTGGTAAATTAGACGGATTTGTGTATATTTGTAACTAGTACTGTTCTACGATTTCACTCGTATGTTCTGTTCCTAGATATCATAGGGACAGAACATATGATATGACATAACATACACAAATGGGTGCAATGTTAATTAGTCTAGGACTTTCCTTATTAAACTGTCAAACACCGCGAGGACATCGGTGACCGCAACCTATTGTTCTTTAATTGTGTCTATAATGACGGTACTCAAAGGGTTTATAGGATTAGAAGATGCAAAATGAATCATTGAAATTGGAGCGCTGCTTCGAAAGATAAGAGTGAAAAATCCAGAGGTAACTTTTCGTGTTTTATTCACCTAAAGCGTAGTCAAAGGTACACAATTACACATAATTATTCTGCATCTAATGTAACACTCTCCTTTCGCATATTGCCCTAAACCTGGACTACAAATAAACCAAAATGTGTTGTAAAATACAGACTTCAAAAAACCAAAAACAAGCATAAAGTAAAAACTAAAAAGCAAAAAATGACTACCTTTTATTAGTAAGTACTGATAGGTTACGTCATCCACTGGTGGTTTAGAAGTCGGTGCCATAACAACACTGTAATCGGTGAATAAATAAAAACAACATGCAAATACAGTAGCTATTCTTTTTTTTTTGAAGTTGGTAGTTATAAAAATTTTTAATATTTTCCCAACCTGAAAATTGGACAACAAAATAGAAGATATAGTTCCAAAGATTACCGCGATAGATCAAAGGAACAAAGAGACAAACACACATATTTTTTTTAAGGGGTAAAATCATCGATAGGCTTCTCCCGCCTGGGTAAGGCGGGAGGGAGTGTCAGACTCTTACTGGCTAAAAACCACCTCGTTCCTTCTCCTGCACGTCGAGCCGGAGCCCCGGTAACCCGTTAGGTTCTCCGCGACAAACACACAAACTTTAGGATCATTATTCATTACTAATAATGTTAGTACACATAGATTTCGTAATGTCTGTCAGTTCTATTCGCGGTCGTTGACATACGCCCTTTAAGACGCGGTAAGTCATCTGTTGTTGTTATTTCTCTTAAAACATACATGTTTGTATGTTTATTTGTTATTGTTTTTCAGTTTTGCAAGACCTACCTCATTGGTCAATGATGATTAAAGGAATACTAGATGCAAGTAACTCCTAACCTCTTCTTGGGGAGAACCTTTATAAATATATGTTCAACAGTAGACCTCTTAAGGCTTATGATAATAATATTCCAACAGTTTTGTTGTGAAAGCTCGGAGTAGATGCCTAAGACTTATGGTATATTAAACTGCATGTCCATAAAATTCTGGATTACCTAGACCTTTGCTCTGATGAACAGTTGCTATCCACCTACGTAAATGCTTAATCAAGTTACCTATTATTATTAGCAACATATTGTTTCATTTTGTATCCACTATACTCTATAGTATCGAATCGTAACATACTATTTTAAAACAAACGAGTTACTAGACAGAAATAGAACTAGCTACTTCGTGAACCTGTATTAAATCGATTGTCAAAAATCAGGTTATGTCGATACCGTAATCGAACGGGAGAATAATAAAACTAAAATCTAAATCGCAGGTGTTAAACGTATTGTTTTATTTTTACATGTATCTATGTAGGTAACATCGCATCCGCAAATACAATATTTACACCTAATTACAATGTTTTTAAGGTATGTATTTTTTTTAAGGGGGGAAAATCATCGAATGTCTGCTCCCGCCTGGGTGAGGCGGGAGGGAGTGTCAGACTCTTACTGACTAAAAACCACCCCGTTCCTTCTCCTGCACGTCGAGCCGGAGCCCCGGTAACCCGTTAAGTTCTCCGCGACTATGTTTTTAAGGTATAGGGACAAACGAACTGATAGACCATCTGACGATAAAATGCAATCAATCATGAAAACCTAGCAAGACCAGAGTTACACGTGCCTTTTTTTAAGGGGAAAATGATCCAATGACTTCAGCCAGCATAGGTGACGCGAGAGACAGTTCCAGACTCTTACTGACTAAATACCACCCCATTTGTATTCCTGCTCCTTTTGCCAGTGTTCCGGTAACCCGAAGTCTTCCGCGCAGTTCCATGTGTCTTGCTGGTCAACCATTCTGTATCTTCACTCATACGTCAGTAAATGATTAATGCAGATTTCACCATCAATTAGAAGATCCACATGTGAATCCTCATGTTTGATAGGTGGCTTGGTATCATAGCTAACTCACTACAAAATGAAGAGTACAGGTACTGCAGTCGTCCCCTCAGTAGCTGATCACAGTTTTAGGACGTACCTGGATCCACTGTTAGTATTTGCTCACATCATCATCTCCATTTTTATGATGGGGATCATTATCAACCCCACTTATACTTCTCACATTTTTTTATGGAATAGGAGGCAAACGAGCAGACGGATCACCTGATGGTAAGCGATCAGCGCCGCCCATGGACACCCGCAACACCAGAGGAGTCACAGGTGCGTTACTGGCCTTTTAAAAAGGAATACGCTCTTTTCTTGAAGGTTTCACATAAAACAAAATCGTATGAAGTCATCTGTTCCGTATTTTTTGTCCAAGACCTTGCCTTTTGACACCTACAATCAAAGTTTGGGACCCAAAAAAATATTATTCTATGTTTATTTCTTTATCTAATTACTGTAAACATAATTATGCTGTAGTAGTTTGTGAATGTGTGTCGTATAGTTTGTGTATTATATATTTGAACTCGCAAAACTGCGATTTTGGTAATAATGTTAGAAACAGGTCATGGATGACATCAAAACCCCATAACGACAGACATGCTGTTACTAGCAGTTATCTTTTTTTGGTTTAAAGTTACATAAATATCACGCCTTTTATCCTGAAGGGGTAGGCAGAGGTGCACATTACGGCAATTGATGCCACTGTACAATGTAACACCCACTTTTCACATTTTATGTTATGAGTCCCATGTAATAGGGGGTGAGTCTATCGCCATATACCGGGCAGAATTCCAGACTCCGTGCTACTAAAGACATTTTTTTGAAAACTCAATAATATTTTGCCCGATCTGAGAATCGTATCAGTCGTTGTCATTTGGTTTTAATCCAATCTAAGATTATCCTGAAAATAACATCTTTATATAGTCTTAAATGCTTCTATTTTTCTGACAGGATTTTCAGCCACATACCAGAACCTATAGACCCTTCAGGAACACAACTACTTAATTAAGCTAGTGTAAAATCCTCGCATCTCAAGACTTACAATACAAAAATTATACAATACCTTGCCTACATTTTTATCGCATGACTGAAGCCCCACATTTAATTTCTTTGCATCCATTCATTCAAACAATTGGTTGACTCTCCGAGCCCAAAGTTCGGTTACTAACTACAGTCACTATTTAATTCTACTTAAAAACAACAGTGTACATCTTTTATTTACAATAATTATTTATCTCCACAGATAATAATGTCAAAGATCGCTGGCCGCACAATTTTACGCATTTTTTAACAGATAAGTTAAAACCGCATTAGTCTAAAGATATATTTCGTCCATATTGCCAGTTCGTGTTATTAATTCTGTTTGAAAATGTCTAAAATGTGGATTAAATTAGTTTTATTATCTATTTTAAATTTTAGTGGATCTGTGAGTATTTATTTGAACGTTTTTTTTATATTGTAGTACTTAAAAGAACGTAATATCTTAGAATTTCCAGTCAAAGGAAATCAATCTTTAGTTGCAAGATTGATTAAAGTTATCAATATTACCAAGGAGACTGCCTCGTTGGCCGAGTGTTCGCAAGTGTGACTGCCGAGCAAGGGGTCTCGGGATCGATTCCCGGTCCAGGCACAGTATTTCAGGGATTTTTAAAAAAAATCTCAGTAGTAGCACGGAGTGTGGAATTGTTCCCGGTGTATGGCAATAGGCTCACCCCCTATTACATGGGACACATAACGTAAATAGTGCAAAGTGGGTCTTATATTGTACAGTGGCGTTAAGTGCCGTAATGTGCACCTCTTCGGAGATAAAAGACGTGATGTTATGCATGTATGTGTATATTACCAAGGGGCACAGAAAATTCATCAAAAAACTTGCATCGAATTCATTCGTAGTACAATCAGAATACAGAAGTTTCTGTATCAGACACCATCAGATACACACAGTATACTGCAAATTGGACCGGTGTGTCTGCCTCTGCCAATAAAACCGAGCAAACAGCTTGCAGGGAAACAAATCGAAGATATGCTATCATAAATGGAACCATATTTATGACGTTATACCGTCTATATTGTAGTAGCAACAATAATTAACAAAGATTTTCAATTACGTGTACTTTCCAAAAGTTTTCTTCTAAATGTATAAACAAGTTTTAGAGGTATATAAAGCGACAGTGTCGAAATAATAAGACATTATTGAAAAACGTAGCATAACATAACATCACGCCATTTAGTCAATGGATGCAGAGGTGCACATTACGGCACTTAATGAAACTATACAATGTAACACCCACTTTTCACTATTAATGTTATGAGCCCATGTAATAGGGGGTAAGCCTATTGCCATATACCGGGCACATTTCCAGACTCCGTGCTACTGTTAAGATTTTTAAAAACCCAATAATACTTTGCCCGACCCGGGAATCGAACCCGAGACCTGACCCCTCGCACTTGCGACCACTCGGCCAACGAGGCAGTCATTATTGAACATCTTCGGAAACGTTAAATGGCTACTTTAAGGTTTACGAAGATCGCGTTTTTAACTATAATTCCACTAAACGGGTTCTAACTCATTATACCTATTGTCAGAATTAATGAAGAATTTAGTATGCTGAGTGTAATAAAATCAACGTTAAAGAATAATTTTTTGCTACCAAAAAGTGTACTGCAACTTTATTTTTCAAGATAGTTAATATTATAACGAATGTCCCAAATTCCAGGTAACAACTTCATTCGACGTCCGCGCCCTGGTCAACGGGAACCGCATGGCTGGTGTTCCACTGGGCTTGTCTCTTGGAGCCGGTGAGCTGGACGTGGAGGGCATCTGCACCAAACCTGGCATGGCCTGCCAGAACTGCAGTCATGCTGTCACCTGCGTCCCTCTACCTGTTGGGTGGTTAAAGGTATTTTAATTAGTAATTGTGGTTGGTTAAGGTGGTGTTTGATATCATCTACTTATACTGAGTCTGGAATTATACCAGTATGAAAATTTACTCTGACACCAGAATGACAGCTGGTGAAAATTATGTGCGTCTGTGTAACGCTTCATGAGTAATAAAAGGTATAATGTTTTACATTAATTCCTCTTATTCAAAACACATATATTTGTTTGCTTTAAATCTTAAGTGTGGGATAGCCATCCTTCGGCACGAATGGACCGGCTCGACCGGAGTGATACCACGGCCTCACAAAAGACCGACGTGAAACAACGCTTGTGTTGTGTTTCGTCGCGTGAATGAGGTTAACGGAGGCCCTTTTTTTTAAACGTGTCTTATAATAATTCCAGGTTCCATTACAAGAATGCAATGAAGGGTTAACATGCAACGCTCACCAGGGTCAGTGTTCACCAGACCCAGCACCAGAATGCAGTGGAGCTGCCCAAGACTTTGACCATACCTGTGAACAGGTCAGTATCTCACGGAATACCTACTAGCTTTTAAATTCAACTTTACTAATATATTTTCGTTGACACGTGTATCAAAGAAAAAAAGACAACATTACTAAGATTAAGGGCATGGTGTAATAACCTATGATTATTGATCCGTTAAAAGTTATTCCAACTAAAGGCAATGATCTCACTCTTTTGCTATCGAGGGTATCCCCGGAAGTCGCTGATCCACCGCCATAGGTCTTGAATCTTCATGAAAAAAGAAACATGGTATTATTGTGACCTTGTAACTTTTTATCGCAGGTGGGAATATTCCCAGATGCCTACGACTGCAGAAAGTTCCACCTCTGCTCTCCACCTGAAGGTTTGCCTGATGGTAGACCAGCAGACCACAGAGCAGCTCTGTGTCCCAGACATTATGGATACAATCCAGCTACTGCACAGTGCTCAGTAAGTATATTGATTTCATATTATTACAAACAAAATCATCTCAAAATCCGATGGTCCTTGCTTGAAAAGAGCAGTCCTGTAGACATTTTCAGGATAGATTACCCATTAAATTATGCATATGATGTAAAACTACATAAAATAACCAGCCAAACCTTTATATTAATAAAAGCTTCAGATTCTTGATTTTTATGAAAGCAGCTATTAGATTTAATACTTACATAAAGAAGGTTCGAACAAAACCCATTTACATTTCATCCTTAAAATTAACACATCTCTCATAATTTATTTTTACAGATTCAATTAGAACACAGCCAATGTTCAGAGAAACCTGTTCCAGAATGCAAAGTTATCGGTCAACATGGAGTCCTGCCCCTAAGCTCCAACCATTACTACGTCTGCCTAATCAAGAACGGAGTTCTGCACCCTCAAGTATTCATATGTCCTCACGGCTGGCACTTCTGGGGAGAATTCTGTCAACCAGAACCCGAAAAGAAAATAGTAAAAGATACAGATGATGAAACTATTAAAGTAGAACATTCTTCAGAAGAAAAAATACCAGAAGAAGAAGAAAAAGTAACGACTACAGAAAAAGAAGCGACCACAGAAGCTACTGCGACAGTTGAAGCTACAACTACTAAAATAGATAGTTTCTTCTCTACTGAGAGAACTGCTACGTATGCAGCTGATACATTCTTAGCTGATAAGATAGACTTAGCTAATTACGAAACTACTGATGACGTTGGTGCTCCCACTAATGATAATTTTGGCTTGTCTATTGAATATAATGATTGGGAGTAGGCTATTAAGATTCATGTAGGTTAAGAATAATAGTCGGTAAGGAAAGGTTGTGAAGGAAAATCATAAGAAATATACTGATAAATTAAATCTCATGTATGTTTTAAGTTATAAAATATTTATCTTCCTGCTATCCTATGTTTATGTTATTAAAACACTGAAAGTAACTGATTCTGAACCTAAAGTGGTGCGATAAGGGAAGATCAGTAGTGGAAGTATTGTGGCGATAATGTGTTATGTATTAAGTTAATCTTGGTCAAAGTCTTAGGACTCACATAACATAACATAACATCACGCCGTTTATCCCCGAAGGGGTAGGCAGAGGTGCACATTATGCCACTGTACAATGTAACACCCACTTTTCACTATTTATGTTATGAGTCCCATGTAATAGGGGGTGAGGCTATTGCCATATACCGGACACAATTCCAGACTCCGTGCTACTACTGGACTCAGTTACTGTAAATGCTCTTGGAAATACATTCTCGAATAAAACAACCCATTTTTCTAAAACAGGATCTAAAATTAAAGCTTCAAGTAAAAGACAAAGGCATCAAGTTATCACGGTAAACCCTGACAAGTACAGTTAAACAAAAATCTAATACTGTCATCGCGTACCACAATAGGAGCATCGCGACCGATACCGACCTTTGTACGCTACAAAGACGATGTTATCGGTACCATCTCTGCTGAGGCCCGCTACGTTGTGGGTCAAGCAAGAAGATATGGCGAACAAAGGTACAATGATGTTCATTGTTTTGCTGGTCGGCCCTTGGCCCTTTGAATGCTCGTTTGGCGTAGTGATGGAAAAGGAAACTGTTGAGATGGAGGACTAAATTCACTAGTAAACTGTTATTAACTTTTCTGTTTCGTTCTAAATATGTATATGTATGAGATTGATGAAATGATGCGAGATGAAAGATACGAGCATGCATGAAAAGATTGATGACTGTTGATGAAGCGAAAGAAGTATGTAGGATTCGTAGTAATTGGCGTTCCCTAGTCTCTGCCTAACCCCATGGGCGACAGGCGTGAAGTTATGTATGTACATATGTATGTAATAATGAGATCTACAAGGCCTATCTGGTTGGTCATAGAATTGTTAAAGAAAATATCTTTGTTTTCTTCTCCAAGTTAAAAAATGTTATTGAATATTTTAATGCTTTTATTTTTTCGCTATCTACTAGGAATGCCTACTTCAAAGTCATGACACTGTAAATACGTTTGGTAATAATTTCACCACTATTGCAATAGTCCGGTAATCATGACGTCATTGGTGAAAAAGTCAACCACTAAAATCACACTTTAGTTAGCCTAACTCGTTTAGCGCATAGAAGACATTATCTTATGCAAATTAATTACAATTAATATACCTAAACGCATAGATTTCTAGTCGAAGATCAATCAAGCAACATTATGCACAACATTGAAACTATAGCGTGGCGACTGCCATTCAATTATTTCACTGAATAATTTCTAATTGCATGTCATTGCATAATAATTTACATTGTTGAATATCAATCATTTTCTGACGTCATATCTAACAGACACGTCAAACGGACGGATTGTATATTTATGTGCATTAAAATACGAAATTTGGTTTTTAGGTACTCGTTACTTATTGTAACTATTGTTATCATAATCAGCTGGAAGACGTCTATTTCTAAACAAGGCCTCCTCTTTTTTTAAGGGGGGAAAATCATCAAATGACTGCTCCCGCCTGGGTGAGGTGGGAGAGAGTGTCAGACTCTTACTGACTAAAAACCACCCCGTTCCTTCTCCTGTACGTCGAGCCGGAGCCCCGGTAACCTGTTAGGTTCGAAAAGCCTCCTCTAAGGTTGCGTTTCCACCAGAGATGTGCGATGGAAATAATATGTCGTACGAGTTTGTCTAGCTATGCTGTAAAAATGTCACCAGGCGAGATAGTGGTCAAACGTCGGCACATCAAATATAAAAAAATATATCCCTCGTTACGCAGCCTTAGTCCCACATATCGGATGACAACCCGTTCGTGGATGCCAATCACCCTTATTTTTGCAATTTTTCGTCAAAAAGTATCGATTCAACGATAGAACAATAGAATCCCTCAATAATGAAAGATATCAGACCGAAAAATTACACATAAAAATAACAACAAACAAGCTTCCCAATTGAAAGAACAAGCATTTTAACTTTAGATTTCTTTTAAAAAAGCGCTAAAGCTCATAAAATAGACCACAAAGGATTCTTACTTTGAAATTAGGCATTGAAAATTAATTCTGTTTATAAATTCTTGCTCTCCATAGATGTCAGACGCATGACTACGTGACCTTTGTATAGAACAGTGGATCTGATTAAGTGGAGAATTCATTTTGGAAAACTTTAGTAAAACGAGGCACTACTTTATATATTATTTTGCTTAATTACTAGCAGATTCTTGAAGTATTTGCTTTTTCAGTAGTACCTATCTTAAAAACCATTGACATAAAAATAGGTAATAAACTATTTTACACTACTTAGAACATAATAAACTCACGCTACTACAAATCTAATGCAACCTCTATTGCAGTTCAGAAAGCACATAGGTCTAAGAATTAATGATATTTACGTATATTTTCCGACACAAAAACAGTCTCACAAACCACCACATCTAAATTTGTAAAATCGCTACCGCTTATAACTTAAGACAGCCACGCCGCGAAATTAACGGTAAACAAAAAGATGCACCTTTGACATTTGAATGAACTGCACACACTGAGCTCATCTAACCTGCTAGCTCTTATGACTTGACCCACAGTTTTCTGCAAACTTTGATCAACAAAGACACATAAACCTTTGACATTAAATGTTGGAATTTTGTGCGTAATAAAATGATGGTTTAACTACTGTAATTGTAATATTAACGAGCTGGCTTTGTTTATCATAAGTTTCTATACGTTTATGCCATCTTGTGTGTACTGTCAGTACTGTTTTTGAGGGGACAAGACAAAATTTTTAGCACAAAACTTCCATGGTAACTAGATAATATAAGCATCGGGGATCCGCTCCATAAACCAGCCGAAGAGATGGTAAGTTTATGGATTTTATGGCTTAAAAAGTTCACACAATTTTTCGTTATTTTATTTTTTCAATGCATTACTGAATGTAGTGCAGGTAGACTATTCACCAGAGCCTAGCGCCAAGAGAGCGATTTAAACGTGTAGTTTATTTTTATAGATTTTTTTATGGAATAGGAGGCAAACGAGCAGACGGATCACCTGATGGTAAGCGATCAGCGCCGCCCATGGACACCCGCAACATCAGAGGAGTCACATGTGCGTTGCCGGCCTTTTTAAAAGGAATACGCTCTTTTCTTGAAGGTTTGAAGGTCGTATCGGTTCGGATTCCGATTAAGATGACTGTGATCAGTGCCTGTGTTTTGCTTATTTTTTTAAGATTTCCGTATCACTAATACATAACACTTATAAAAATATGTAACTGATAACATACATATCTTTTCTCTTCTGGCAGCAGAGAAAATAGGTCTTTTTTTAAGGGGGAATATCATCGAATGACTGCTCCCGCCTGGGTGAGGAGGGAGGGAGTGTCAGACTCTTACTGACTAAAAACAACCCCGTTCCTTCTCCTGCACGTCGAGCCGGAGCCCCGGTTACCCGTTAGGTTCTCCGCGACAGAGAAAATAGGTCTATAATCGTAATTTTCTATACTTCTACGGGCTTAACGCTTTTAACATAACCCACGCTCCATTTTTCTAGTCTTGACGAAGTAAAACGATAACTTTATTACTTTGTTTGAATTTCTAAATGTTCTTTTATTGTAGTCTGGCTTCAGCTTCAGCTTGTTCATGGTTCGTTAAGTTCACTCTGCTTACTGTTTCTGAAACTGAAACATTTTTATGTTATTAGTGAATGGAATTACTTTTCTGAATATGTTCAGGCGCCGTGATGTTCATTGCAATGCAAACTTTCAAAAAATAAACACTTTTAGTTTTACAAAGCGTTGTAAAGTTAGTTAAATGACAGAGCAAATCTCTTTATACAGTATCGAAGAATCCTTTAATTTGTTAAATGTATTTTTTTAAGGAATTTGTAAGTAGATTTTCAGTGACGAAGAAAGCTAGCATGTATGGATTGACCTATATAAGGAAAAAATAATTTTCAATAGCTTAGAACACTTTTCACCACAAAGGGATTATTAAAAATAAACAATAGGATAATGTTAATAAAGGTACATTACATCTATTATTATGTTTTCGGCTTACTCACGTAATTATTTGACGAGTAACTCGACTAGTTTCAAGCCATGCTAGAGGCCCAGTACAGTACAGTAGCAGCGCGACAGTTGCCGCGTCGCGGGTCGCGAAATGCTGCTCATGAATATGAGCCTCTAATATGGCTTGAAACTAGTCGAGATCCTCGTCAAATAATTACGTGAGTAAGCCGAAAACATAATAATATATTTAGTATGTCTCACGAAGTACATTACATTGTTGCAATAAATGCCCTCATATACCACCAACACAACAAATCAATTAGATCAAGATAATGGCCAAACGCGGACCTATCAAGTATAAACAAATCTTGTCAGAATTTCCTTGCACCATCCCGCTTCAGCGTCAGAAATCGCTACCCGCTGACAGCGTGTACCACACAGCATTTGTGCAGGGCTAACGGTGTACAAAAAACGGGCACCTCTGACATTAGACACTAGAATTGCATCACAGTTCACCGTGGGAAGCTTACCTATAGACGCATACGCCGCTAGAGGCTATGTTGTATGGAGACGGTTATTCAATTAAATAGTAGTAGGTACTCTTAGATATTGTACTGGTTGAATGTAAAAAGGGGTAGACAGACAAATCTTTCATGCTAATGATAATGTGGGAGAGCCCTGCTTCGGCACGAATAGGCCGGCTCGACCGGAGTGATACCACGGCCTCACAGAAAACCGACGTGAAGCAACGCTTGCGTTGTGTTTCGTCGTGTGAGTGAGGTTACCAGAGGCCTAATTACCCTCCCCTTCCC